CTTTATCTCGAAGACATGCACTCATCGCAACTATGGAGGCCAAAGTCATGGGTTTTGAGTTCATCAAAGATGCTAGGAGAGAGCTTTGAGGAGTATAACAACGGAGCTCACGGGAAATTTTACACCTATTAAGGCTTTATGTTTCGAGACAAGAGGCTTTGCATACCGCAATGTTCTCTTAGGGATCTTATCATCAGAAAATCTCATGGAGGAGGACTGATGGGTCACTTTGGAGTAGACAAGACCCTCGCCGTGGTGAAGGAGCATTTCTATTGGCCTCATCTCAAAAAGGCTATAGAAGCTCATTGTCCGAGATGTTTTATCTGCAAGAAAACCAAGTCTAGAGTGCACCCTCACGGCTTATACCTACCATTACCAATTCCAACCGCACCATGGGTCGATATATCGATGGATTTTGTGCTGGGGTTGCCAAAGATCAAGCACAAAGACTCCATATTTGTGGTGGTGGACAGATTCTCCAAGATGACACATTTTATACCTTGTGCAAAGGTTAATGATGCATCTCAAACGGCGGATCTGTTCTTCAAGGAGGTAGTGCGCTTACATGGAGTGCCAAGAACCATTGTATCTGACTGAGACAGCAAGTTCTTGAGCCATTTTTGGAGAACCTTGTGGAAGAAGCTTGGCACCAAGCTTTTGTTCTCTACTTCTTGCCACCCACAAACAGATGGCCAAACTGAGGTGGTGAACAGAACATTATCTACATTGCTAAGGGCCACACTCGGTAGAAACATGAAGAATTGGCTGGAGTGTATACCATTCATCGAGTTTGCCTACAAACGAGCTCAACATTCGGCCACAAAGATGTCTCCATTCGAAGTAGTCTATGGCTTCAACCCCAAGACCCCAATGGACTTCACACAATTACCACCAGCTGAGGCCGTGAGTTTATAGATGGAGAAAGAAGAGCTGATTTCATGAAGAAACTAGATCAAAAGGCAAAGGAGAACTTGGAGAAGAGAACTGAAAAATATGTGAAGCACGCCAACAAAGGACGCAAAGAAGTGGTGTTCGAACCAGGAGATTGGGTATGGCTACACATGAGGCATGAAAGATTCCCAAGCCAAAGGAGTTCAAAGCTAGCACCAAGAGGAGATGGACCTTTCAAGATACTAGAGAAGATCAACAACAACGCCTACAAACTTGAATTGCCAAGTGAGTTTAACGTGTCCTCAACTTTCAATGTAACTGATCTTGCTCCATATCTTGCAGATGATCCAGTTTTGAGGTCAAAACCTCTTGAAGGAGGGAATGATGAGGCCTTTCAAGCTGAACCAGACTTAACCGAGCCGCAACTACAAGATGTGGAAGTACCAATCATTCATCAAGGGCCAATAACAAGACAAAGAGCAAAGGTCCTTCAACACAAGTACAACCAAAGAATGTTACAAGCCATATCTCAAGTGGATCAAGCAAGGCCATAAGAAGACCAAGAAATTGAGCCGCATACTAAAGCCCATCAACAAGAAGCTTGGACTGGACTACTGGAGGAATGCCAAGAGCTAGCAAACGCCCCAGCTTCAAAGAATCAAGATGTCTGGCCCATTTTGCCAATTCAAGCCCAAGTATTCATGCTGACCATCTCGCCAATGCACCAAGACACTTAGGAGGGAGGATTCAAACTCGGTCAAAGCCACACATGTCTCAGCCACCAAATAAGGTAAGTGTTCAATCAAATTTCAATTCTTTGACTAACGAGTTTCTCTTTTCTTTGGTCTTATGCAGAGACAATTTAGTTAGTCTTTTATTTCCTTTTTTTGAGTCCTTTAATTTAGCATTTTTAATTTGCAAGTGCTGTTGTTTTGAGTATTTACTTTTAAAATTCATGTTGTTTTGATTCTTTTATTTCTTTGAGTCTAAGCTGCTAGGACCATTATATAAGGTCGCATTACAGCCTTGTAATTTGGCACCTTTTGATATTAATAAAACAAGAATTTTCTTAGTTAAGTTTTCTGAGAAAAACTTGTTCGTCTTTTCTCTAGTTGAGACCAATACCTCCTAGAGCCGAGAGTCTGTGTTGTATCACAAGTCTTTCACAACTTGTATGGTGCACTTCAATCCCCCATCCATTCCATTTCACTTCCATCAACTGATTCTTTGGTTAGAGTTGCTCATCCGCTGAATCAACCCCTTGGCCATCGACCAGGCTTTGCTTCCAAGATCCAACAAGCCCTTGACACCTTGGTGCTTGTATCATTGCCGGGGATTTGTCGCTGTTGATTTGATTTCTTAATCTAATTTCAATTCTAAACCTCAAGATTTTCGAGTTCTGTTGCAGATTTTCTAACTTCTCTTTTTTATCTTTGCTTTTTTGCTCTAAAGTGCATGAAAACTAGGAGAAATCCTGCCAATATTGTACCGCCTCTTGACGAGGTCGAAAAACACAAAAGAGAACTTCGGAAACTCAGACGAAGGACGCTCAAGATGGCCAATCCGAATGCCCATCGGGAAGATCTTTTAATCTGTGATTAAGATGATCACATTGGAGACGATACTGTGATTCTATTCACGATGATGACCGAGATGCTGCCCATGAAGCAAATGGCCAGCCACAACTTGATGAAGGGGGAAACCAAATCCCTAAAAATGCTGCTCAAGCCGCCGATGATCAAAGAAAACGAGATCGGGATGATCCATGAGAAGGAAGGAATGATGAAAACATTGTTCCACCAAATAGTAGAGAAGCCAATCGACCCATACAACTGCCCTCATCATGGTTTCTCTGAAGCAAACCTGCTAAGCACCTTCTAGAGAGGACGTTAGCAGAAGTATCAATTTTCTCTTGACACTGCCAGCAATGTAGATTTCAAATCAAAAATTGTACCATAAGGGAGAGCACTCATCGAAAACTTAACTATATCCAACAGCAACAACAACCCTGAGTATGATAGCCTTATCCGCAGCAGCAGAGGAATTTTCCAAACATATTCCGAAATGGGAACTATGGAGTGATAACACCTGATTTTGACCACTTTTATGGATCACTTTTAATATCTTATGCAGGTGTTTTCACTCAGTTTTAAAGGTTTTAAATGATTTCTATGTTTTAGAATCTCAAAAGAGTTTTCAGGATATTTTGACAAAATGAATGCACTTGGGAGCAAAAGGCATAATTTTGGATAAATTCAGACCGTCGGAAGTTTGGTAATAAACGGAGGCCTTCACACCCTCTGATCATCCCCAAATTTTGACATCGGATAGAAGAGACAACCAGCTTTCCAATGCGAGTGGAATCAGAGAAATACAACGGTTAGATCTCCAGATATGGTCGATACATTGAAGGCGAATCGTCAAAGTCAGAAGCTCACCTGCGGCCAGAACATCATTCGCCGGGGGTGCGAAATTTTAGACAGCGGTGAGCTCAATTCCGAGCCTCGGAAGCCCATATCAAAGCCAAGTCACTCCCGTCATTATTCCTGCAAGTCCTAGGCGTTCCTGAAGACTCAAGACACTATATAAACCCATTTTAAGTCGTTTAGAAGGGTGTGCTACATCTTTCACCAGGAACCCTAGAAGAGAAACTCGCCCAGAAGAGGAGCCACCGAGAGGGTCACCATCGGCCCTCCTTCTTCAACCTGTTCTTCGTTTCTAAACTCTGTCTATTTCAATTCTCTGCAATTCTAAATACTCTTGTGATGTTGAATTCAATTATGTCTGAGTAATTTCTCAGTTGGGTTTTTAAGGGATTTTTCAAAGGGAATTTCATGTCTTGACCATATGGTTATTGCGATTTAGTGTTCATAATCTTCTAGGTGTCCTTCGTTCATTCTTATTCACTATGCTGTTTCTGTTGCTAGCTGCTTAGAAATTGATTTCAGTAATTGGAGCCACGAGAGTGCTGTATCGAATTACCAGACCTAGAAGTGATCGAGCGAATTTGCTACAGAAGATGAAAGCTACCTGTAGAGAATCGTGAGCATGGATGAATTCTGTTTATAATGCATGATCTTATTCGCAGCATGAGAGCGAGAGTTAATTGCTGTGTTGAGTGATTAGATGATTAGGGTGACGACAGTTGGCTAATCTTATATGTGTCTATTCTAGTTTGGGATCCTCACTAGATGATTACCTTTATCGATTTGTATGTCTTTTGATCAGTTCATGAACCCCTGCGAAAACCCTTTGAACCCAGCGCCTGTTTCTTATTGTTTTACAACTTGTTTATTTCGATTTACACTTAGATTTAGTGACACGAAAACCAAAAACCCCATTTGCTTGTTCTGCTAGTCTTAAGTCTTGATTGATTCGCACTGAAAGCTCAAAATCTCTGTGGTTCGACTCCTAAGTACTACAGCGTACATCTGTGCACTTGCAGATATTTAGGGTTATAAATTTAAAACGTGAAGCTATAAGTAACCCTTGGTTCTCTTAGCATTAAGTTTTTGGCGCCGTTGCCGGGGATTTTGATTTCTTTCGTTGCAAATCTCTGCTTAATTCTGTAGAACTTTTTCTAATTTTTGTTTTTCTTTGATTTTTCAGGTACTTTTTCGATGAGGGGTCAGGAACACATCCTTGATCCTCTCGCTGAAGAGGATCCTTTTCTAGATGGTGATCCATCAGATGATGAGCTTAATGATCCAATCGATGATGGCAATGAATCGATTGGAGAATCAGAGTAGGGCAAGAAGGGAGAACAGCTGATTGGAGAATGTGATACACACAAACTTTTCGCAGATAGGCAAGCAATTCGACCACCCTTACCTAAGGATGGCGACTCTGAGGCTAAGGTACAATACATTAGCTATATTAAAAAGTATAACGGTTTTTCTACTGAACACCCAATAGATCATATTGAAAATTTTGAAGAGCTGTGTTCAACAATAATGAAAAATACCGATTACCATATGTGTGTCCTTTTCCCATTCTCTCTAACTCGTAGAGCTAGTAAATGGCTTAAAATTTTGCCACCTGTGTCCTTAAAGACGTGGAAAGAGTGTAGAGAGGCTTTCCTTAGTCACTTTTACACCAGAGATTGTTTCAATCTCTTAAGGGACAAGATCCAAAATTTTCAGCAGGAGGACATAGAAGACCTCAATGACGCCTGAGAAAGATTTAGAGACTACCAATAGGATTGCCCACACCATGGTTTCTCTGAGGAGCGCCTGATGACCATCTTCTACCATGGAGTTAATGAAGAACTGAAGTTTTCTTTTGATACCTCTAGCAATGGAGACTTTTCCACTAGAACTGTATATGAGGCTCACGTCTATATCACTAATCTAGCTAGGAGTATCAGAAATAGGAGACTTCTAACCCAATCTAGATGTCCTAAAGTTGAGGAAAAATAATCATCTGTTAGTAAAGAACACCTAGATCAGATTAGAGAAGGCATTCAGAAGATTCTTAGCATGATTTGTCGGATTCATAACTCTGATGAAGGAAACAATCATAGCAAGCCCTACAATGAGAAGATGAACAACCTTGAGGTGGAGATGAACTTCCAAATCAGGAGATGATGCAAACCGCTTATGTTTACCAGATTGAAGAGGCTGAGCAGAATCAACCCCACCAGGGCTGGGAGCCTTTCAACCGCGGCAAAACCGACCTCCACCGCGGGTGGGAATCTTTTGGCTGCGGCCAAGAGGAGTTTCACCGTGAGTCAGAGCATTTTGACCGCGGCCAGCCTGATTTCCAATCCTCTTTTCAACCTTCTTTCAAGCAAACCAATCTGATCAACCCAATCCCATACTTCCTCCTTATTATCCTATTATCCTTTTTCCAGGATTGAAGAACTAGAAAAAGAGATTGAAAGGCTTAAAAAGGAGATGGAGAGTCAATTAAAGAAGCATGAAGATGCCATTAACAAACTCTCCACCCTTTTTCTTCTTCAGATTAGTGATGAATCAAAGGAGACAGATTTTTCTGTTAATGATCTTAATGAACCTTTTTCTGAAAGAATAAATGAATTGGAGACCTCTGATCATTTAAAAGCAATAACCCTCAGGAGTGGTTCAGCTTACAAGGAACCAGAATATCCAAAAGATTACGAAGAAGGAGAAAAATGAGAAGTTTCGACTGATAAAGAAGGAGATGCAACAGTTGAGAAAGAAAGAGATAAGGAGAAGGAAAACGCCCCTCAAGAAATCGTTAAAGAAGAACCTATACCTCCTCCTCTTACTCGTGTCTACAAGCCCAAATCACCATACCCACGAGCTTTGAAAGGACTAAAGAAGGAGAAAGAAAGGGCTAAGCTGAAATAGATAATCGAGCAGTTAAATGTGAGGTTACCTTTCATTGAAGCTTGTGCAATGAAACCTGCTCCTAGGAAATACATGAAGGGTATTCTAACAAATTCTCTAGCATTAGAAGAAGGCGTTATGATGATAACTCATGAATATAGTTCCATTTTACAAAACCATGTCCCTCAGAAGAAAGAAGATCCGGGAAGTTTTGTACTCTCTTGCACAATCAGGAATATGATTTTTGAACGTTGTCTATGTCATTTGGGATCAAGCATCAACATGATGCCTCTCTCAGTTGCAAAACGCTTAGGATATCATACTTTCCAGCCCACAAAAAATCTCGCTGATTCTTGTCGATCGATCAATCAGACGACCAGAAGGAGTCTTGGTTAATGTATCAGTCATGATTGGAGAAAACTGTATACCGACTGATTTCGTAGTGCTTGAATTGGAAAGAGAACCAAAAGACCCTCTGATTCTCGGTAGACCTTTCCTATCAACTGCAAGAGCAATAATCAACGTACCGGAAGGAAAGATAGACATACATCTAGAGAGTTTGATTATGCAGTTCGATATGAACAAGAGTCTTGAGAAACCTACTTTAGATGGCGGGCTTTGTCGGGTTGATAAACTTGATGTTATTACTGAGGAAGTTTATGAAGAAGTCCTTCTTGATGACCCTCTAAAAATCATCATCACCACCACAAATGATGATCGCAACTTGCTCGAAAAAACTTCGAAAGAGTGTGCCCAAATGCTCGATAAGGCCGAGGATTATGCGAAACTTGTGAACTATCTGGACATGAATGAGGAAAATCACATCCCTACTCCTCCAAAAGATAACTTGACAGCTATAAACGACCCATGGAGCGAGCTCAAAGCTCCAAAACTCGAGCTTAAACCTCTTCCTGATGGGCTCAAGTATGCTTTTTATGGACCAAACTCAACTTATCCTGTCATCATAAATTCCGGCTTAAGTAGTACTGAAACTAATAAGCTGTTAAATGAGTTAAGGAAGTATAGAAAAGCCATAGGTTATTCTCTTGATGACATACAAGGAATCTCTCCAGACCTCCGTATGCATAAGATAAATCTTGAGGACAATGCCAAGAATTCGATTGAAAGCCAGAGGAGGTTGAATCCAAACCTGATGGAAGTGGTAAAGAAGGAGATCATGAAACTTTTGGAAGCAGGAATCATATTCCCTATCTCGGACAGCACTTGGGTTAGTCTTGTGCATGTTGTCCCGAAGAAAGGAGGAGTGACTGTTATCAAAAATGACAAGGATGAAATGATTGCTACAAGAACAATGACGGGACATCGAATGTGCATCGATTATCGAAAATTGAATGCGGCAACTCGGAAAGATCATTTTCCTTTACCTTTCATTGACCATATGCTAGAAAGATTAGCAAATCACGAATACTACTGCTTTCTAGATGGTTACTCTGGATTTTTCCAGATTCCAATTAGACCGGAAGATCAGGAAAATACGACATTCACCTGTCCATACAGAACTTTTGCTTATCGGCGAATGCCTTTTGGATTGTGTAATGCACCTGCAACCTTTCAGCGGTGCATAATGTCTTTTTTCACTGATTTCATCGAAGATTTCATGGAAGTCTTCATGGATGATTTCTCCGTCTATGGGTCCTCATTCGACAGGTGCTTGGAAAACTTAGGGAAAGTTTTGCAGCGCTGTGAAGATAGCATCTTGTCCTTAACTGGGAAAAATGACACTTCATGGTCCGCGAGGGGATTGTGCTTGGACATTAAATATCTGGAAAAGGTATTGAAGTTGACAAAGCAAAGATTGAAGTCATGACTAGCCTACAACCTCCAACTAATGTGAAGGGAATCCAAACTTTCCTGGGGCATGCCGGATTCTATAGGCGATTCATAAAAGGCTTCTCAGAGATTGCTAGACCTCTCACATGTTTGCTCTGCAAGGAAACGAACTTTGAATTCGATGATGAGTGCTTGGCAGCATTTCATAAGATCAAAAATGCCCTTGTCTCTGCTCCTGTTGTGTAACCACCTGATTGGGAACAACCATTTGAAATCATGTGTGATGCAAATGATTTTTCTGTTGGAGCTGTGTTTGGTCGGCGGAAAAAAAAAGAAACTACACGCAATCTACTATGCGAGTAGAACTCTGGATGAAGCTCAATGTAATTACGCGACTACGGAGAAGGATCTTTTAGCCGTCGTTTTTGCATTTGAGAAGTTTCGATCTTATCTCGTAGGATCTAAGGTTATCGTCCATACTGACCATGCTGCAATCAAGTATCTCATGTCTAAGAAAGATGCAAAACCGAGGTTGATCAGATGGATACTCCTGCTGCAAGAATTTGATATTGAAATCCGAGATCGGAAAGGAGCAGATAATGGAGTAGCAGATCATCTTTCTAGAATTCGAGTAGAAGAGAAACTCCCCTTGAATGATAGTTTGCCAGAAGAAAATGTTTACGCTATGGAAACTATACCTATTACCGTGCAATAAAAGTCATCCCAACCTCCTATACGGCGGTCAGATGTTTTTGACACCCCATGGTTTAGGCATATAGCAAATTACTTAGCTGCAGAAATCAAACCTCCATAATTCTTTGGCTATATAAAGAAGAAATTCTTAAAGGACATCCGGCATTATTTCTGGGATGAACCTTTTCTCTATAGGAGATGTGTAGATGTTTTTTTCAGAAGGTGTGTGGCTAAAGAAGAAATAGAAGGAATACTGTTTAGATGCCATAGTTCAGCGTATGCAGGACATTTCGCGACCTACAAAAAAGTTTCAAAAGTTCTTCAAACAGGATTTTGGTGGCCTACTATCTTCAAAGACACTCACGCCTACATCTCACGCTGTAATTCATGCCAACGAATGGGCAACATCAGTAAGAGGAATGAAATGCCTCAAAACTTCATTCTTGAAGTCGAAATCTTCGATGTATGGGGAATTGATTTCATGGGACCCTTCCCAACTTCTTTCGGAAACCAATACATTTTAGTAGCGGTAGACTATGTGTCTAAATGGGTAGAAGCAATCGCCAGCCCTACTAATGATGCAAAAGTGGTTATAAAGCTGTTTAAATCTAACATTTTCCCTCGCTTTGGAGTTCCTCAGATTTTAATAAGCGATTGAGTTTCTATTTTTGCTGCTTTGTTTCTGTTTTCTATAATTTCAGGTTTTTAAGCGAAGAACGAATAAGAAGTGAACAGAAATTACGAACCAGGAAGCACATCACCAGGTAAGTACACCTAAACATTCCAAATTTCAGTCCATCATTATCCCATCCTCTCATAAATTAGTCACACTGAGGGCAGTGTGATATAGGTTTGGGGGAGGATGTTCATCTTTTACTAATGAAATTTGGTTTGTTTTGAGTTTGTGTTTCACAAAAAGTTTTCCAAACGGTTTTCAAAACAGGAACACCGGAACAAAATCATATGCTTCTAGACTTTACATGCTAGTTTCTTTTGTGGATAGTACTAGACTAGGCGGTAGCTAGAGCACTTGCGCTACTAACTCCCACCAGAGGATTTCTATTCATGGAGACATGTCCTGACAGGATAGACTAGCTCATTTTACTTGAACATAATCTTGACATCTAATTTTCTCATCATTGGTTTTAGCAAGCATCATGATCCACATCTAGGACATCTTTACATCATTGTTACCATCCTTTGTTATCCTAGATGGCCAGTTCATCTTTAGCTGGTACCACACCCTTTACCCAAACCTTTGTGTTTAAACCTCATGCATTCTCTCTTTAGTTATATCGACAGATATGTGCAAAAACGCCGGAGAGGGAGGAACAACATGGTTTTCAGTCACTCAAGAGAAGGGCTGAAGAAATTTTGGAAAGAGGAGTATCAGCAATCCTATCAAAGCTCGATGGTGCCTCAAAAA